AGACCCGAGGGCGCGTCTACAACTTGATATGAAGAATATGAATTACATTTAAATTCGGACAAATATGAAAATTTATTGTAATTTGTATTTGAGAGTCAAATATTAGTTTGATTTTGATTTAATTTTATACATGCAAATATTTTTGAAAAGGCCTTATAGATTCAATTTTAAGTTTCATAAAACAAAGAAAGAATTGAAAGATGATTTTTAAGCGTGATAGCCAAAGTCAAAATTTGAATTAAAATCATGGATGGAATTTTGAAGTATAAGTAGAATTAACTTTAAGTATATTTAATTGGGAATGTTTTTGTATGTTCGAGTAAGTCATGCATAAATTTCGAGCCTTGATAATGTGTTTTGAAGTTTAAACAACATTTTGAAAAACTCAGAATTTGTCACCATCGCTCGAGTGAAGAAGTTGTTGCTCGAACGTAGAATGCAAGCAACTAGTATTTTTGCAGACCAAGGGGTCCGCTCGAGCAACTAATGTTGCGCTTGAGCGAAGAGTTCTGTTTCAGAAAATTTGAAAAGTTGTTTTATATTTTGAATTTTCATTCTCTTTCACTTCCAAGCATTTTAAACATGATTTATAGCTTATTGAAGATTAATAAGCCAACAATCAACATAACTTAGTTGGTTAAAGAATACGTCATTAACTTAGTAGTAATTGATTAAGAAACTAAGTAACAAATTGGTTTATTCAGAAAAGAATGATTTAGTAATGAAAGAATGTGTGAGATGAGAACCCGATTCATTTGACTAAAAAAGAATAAGCATAGTAGACCTTTAGATTATTTAGACAGAAGACAGGAAAAGTCAAGTTTGATCAAGGAAATTGATATTATGTTTCAATGTGTATATGTTATGTATTTGTGTAGGTCACACGCTATTGTCTACTTGATCTGTCTGATCTGCTTCTGCAGCTATTTGTAAGTAATAACTTAGTAAAGCTATGTTCAACTTTACTTATTTTCTGTATATGAAATAAGATATGTTCTATGAAATGTTATGTTTGTACTATGAATGATTGTTCAATTTTGATAAGTATTTAGGGCTTAAGTAAGTTATATGTTCCCGGTTCAGAGGTTCCTTAAGGAACTGACAAGTTTTTTGTGCCCAGCCGGAGGTTCCTTTATGGAACTGATAAGTTATTCGTACCCGGTCTGAAGGTTCCTTTATGGAACTGACAAGTTATCCGTACCCAGCCGGAGGTTCCTTTATGGAACTGACAAGTATGATCTTCGATGTCCCGTATGTGATCTGTTAGCTCTAACGGATGTACTATGTGAGATTAAGCATGAACTCTGATTTATGTATGTGGTTTGAATAAAAATATGAATATGAATCTGTTTTTGACTGAAATCTGAATATGCATAAGACTGTTTCTGATAAGAATTTGTTTTTGATATAAACTCTGATTTCTAACTTTGTGATGGACATCATTCATTAAAACCTTTTACCTTGGTATTATTCACTGGGCTCCAACTCACTGTATTATTTATGTACGTAGGTGATCAGGTGCGTGACCAGGCTTAGAGACGTCTGCCTGGAATCTGTTTTTGTCAGCCAACCTATGTGCCTTCCGTAGAGGTTCCGGATATGTCAAGTGGTTATGGCTATGTAATTAAGTTCAAGTTTTGTTTTTTTGTTTGGTTAAACAAGTCTTTGTTATTTTGTAAATAGGGTTGGGTCCCCTTTTTTGTCTAATCTGTATGTATATGATGATGTAGGGATAATGTGTAGATATGTATATAAAAAGTTTAAAATTTTTCTGTCTCATACAAGCTTGCACAGCTCAATGGATGTTGTATATTTGTTATTCGCTTCCGCTAGCCCCTAATATTATGTTAATTTATCTCAGAGGCCTTCGATAATCCTAGGATTACTGGCTGATTACGATACTAAACCTATAGAGGCGGGTTTGGGTCGTGACATAAGTGAACGATTCAAATTATCGAAATAAGACTTGAAGCAAACCCACAAAATCTAACTTAAGGTTTGATAATAAAAAATATATATATAGTAACGCTGTGTTTAGTTGAGGAATTTGGGAAGAGATTCAGAAAAGAAAAGAAAACATGTGTTTAGTTGAAATATAAGTATATTTTATTCATATTTCACTTCTATTTTTCCTTTCCCTTTACAAATATCTTTCTAAATTTTTCAACCAAACATAGCGTACATTGCATGACATTTGCATAACAACACATCTCCTCTAGTGACAGAAAACACAATGGAGGGAAATTCTATTTTCACATTACTCTTAGTGCACATTCCTTTCAGTTCACACAATTAAAAAATTATTTCTCACTGTACACACGGGCACACAATTATTCCAAGTAAATCCATTTATGATGAAAAAAATTGTACAAACACCCACTCAATTATAGAGTTACTCATTCGTAGAAGAAATTCTATCAGATCTTTATTGACCTCCATTGTTGAAACTTCATTTCGTTGGGAAAATTCTTTTAAACCTTGATTGACTTCCCTTGTTGAAAATACCTCCATTATTTAAAGGCAAAACTTCATGAAGATTCAGTGAACTGTGTTAATAGTTCATATAATTTATTTATTTTTCATTTTTTAAGACGTAAAATTAGTAATTAAAATTTTGTATTCAAGTTTTGCTAATATATACTATTTGCATTTTTAGAATTAATTGTTGCTAATAATAGTACACACAGACCCAACTACAAAATTAATCATAGAATCGTGTGCTGCAAAGCTTTTGTTGTTTTTTTTGTGATGAATACTTCTCTAACATTTTTCTTATTTACATGATTTTTTTTTTTAATTTTGTTTTTGTAAAAAGGGAGATACCTTATGATGAAGATCTTATATTTTTATTGAAATCTACAATGATGATGACTTTTATATGTATAATGAAAAATAAAATCAATAAATAACTTTTTTATTTGTATTTAATAGTTGATTTCATGAAGTTAACTATCAAACTAATGTCATTTAATTCGAAATTGATTTACTGAATAAAATAATGCTAAAAAAGAACAATTTTAAGCATAAAAACTTACAAATTTGTTGTCAACTTTGTCGTAATCAATGTCCTTCTCAAAATATGAGTTTTTATCTTTTTAATCTTCCATAACAATTACGAAGGATTCAAATAATAAACTAATGTGAGTTGGGTAAGAACAAATGTAAAAGATGAGTGAAAAATAATGGAGAAACTTATGTCCATAAAACTAAGTTGAGTGAGAAACAATTGAGAATAAAATTAGGGTTTAATTCTAAAGATGTGTACAAAGAGTTCTTTAATTCTAAAAATGTATAATATGAAAATTTCAATTTGAAGTAGGATTGTATACTTTTGTTTATATTAGTAAAATTGTAATACAAAATTTATTCATTAAGTGTGTCTACATAGAGTAAATAATGTGTGGAAATGAGTGCTGTTATTAGCACCCCATCAATTATTTTGGACCCCCATCACTTATAAATTCTGAAACTCTTAAAACAAATTTCTCCCCCAAAATAATATCCAAATTATCCTTGTGAAAACATTCCACACATTCAATTGAATGCACACCCCCACGCCCCCACACCCCAAAAAGCATCTCTCCTAAAAACCCTAACAAAACCCACGAAAGCAATTACTACTTCATCTCCACATATTTTTTCATGACCTAAGAAAATAAATGTAGGGCTTTTTGTTGATTCAAAATTCCCCTTTTGTAACTTCTGCGATATTCACGAGTTCCGGTTATCTGTTCCCGAACAAATAAGAAATGATTGGTTACTTGTTCTAGAACAAATGAACAGTGTTTGGGCCTGTGTTCCTGAATTTCGATCATATGTTCGGGAGTTCAATTCTGAAAAAATAACGAACAATTTTATTATTTTTGTCATTTTTTTCAAAAAGCTTACTCTTACAAAGTCAATCTCCTCTAAACTAAGAATACCATCAAAGCTATGAACGTCCTTTGAACTTTTATTGTTGTACTCCTCCCGTATCATGGAATTGTGATTACTGGAAAAACTTTCACTCATTATCATTGCTGGAGAAATGTAAATAATCAAATGGTAACCACCATTATTGTCGGAATGTTGTCACCAAAGGATTTTCAAGGTTTTGAGGATGGGTAGGTGTTGAAGGTGGGATTTGGAAAAGATGGATGGGTGGTAATGGAGGTAAGTGCTCTCATAAACCCTAATTCATGATGTAGTATGTGTGTAGTCTTAATTATGAGATGAGTCGTCCCAAAATTATTGATATCCTTTTTAATAATTTCATTTGAGATTATTATTGTAATAAAAAAAACTAAAAAATAAGAAGTCTAAAACAATTAATGAGATGCTAATAGTAACACTCGTGGAAATAGAGCATCCCCACAATGGACCTAATGTATAGTGTGAAATTACCATTTTGCTCTTTTCAAACCTTATGAAATCATTTGGATAAATTACACTAACAAGATTTGAAAAAATTAAATTATAAGTAATCACAAAATTTTGTATCTTAAATTTTAAATTTACATAACAAATTGATCCATGCCATTAAAGAGATTTTTTTTTTTTTCGCTACAACGGAAAGAAACCATTAAAGATTTATTAATATTCATTTCTTCCTATTTGTTTATGTTAAGCAAAATATATAATTAAATGACCATAACAACCCCACCCTCACTTCACCACTGCACTATCACACGACCCGCTATATCCTCCCTCTTCAACACCTCACCAAAAATCCCATCCACCTCCTGTTCGCCTCCGAGCACCGCCTCTCTTCCCCCAAATTGTTATGCAAGAAACTGTGAACTCAAAAGTTGCGTTTTCAATTCATATTCCCAAGTATTGAACTTGTAAAGTGGCTATTAAACAGCAATAACTTCAAATTCAACATCACACACGACTTAAACAGTTTCCAACATTTCCTGACTTTAACATTGCAGGAATATAATACCAGGTGTATTTAGAAGTACATTTCTAGGTATTATACCTACTTCAGTATTTCAAACAAATCACCATTCCCACTACAATTACAAACCCATCACAAGAAAGACTTTGCTCCAAAGCAATTACACAAATTAATATTAAAATACAAAATGCTAGATGGTCTTACAAGTTAATTGAAAAGAAAATTACTTTAGTCAACAAATTATCAATCAAACCTATCAATTTTCCAACAATCTCACCATGAAAGAATGTTGGGAGATTGTTGGCAGACAAAAGTATGAAAGACCAGTCAATACTAACTGGAAACTACACATCCCAAGTTATTGATACAATCCACAAGCATAACAGTTAAATTCAGAACATTTTGTAATTGTGGCAAGACAAACAAACAACAGGACAACTCTACAGCGCTTCAGCCGTAGCTCAACCGAGAATCTAAAGATCGCATTGATGTCTGACGACGAGGAATCCCGATCTCACAAGAATTTACTCTGGCAGCAAATCTCAGAGAGCAAATTGATTCACCAAATGATGAAGGATCAGGAGAGATGTTGACAAACATCAAGGTCTTCGAATCTCCCCCTAGGCATGGCTGATCACACAAATTAATGAGGTTAAACAATCTTCAATGAACATTATTCTTGGTTTAGAGGTATAGAAACCACCTTTTCTCGATGACTTAAAAACCTTATAACCAAATAAATGGGACTTGAATGATAAAAATCAGTTGTAAATGAATGTTTTAAGTGCTTATTTCATATTAAAACATAAAATTGGACGAACACATCTAATATTTCAGTTGAACTAATCATTTCTTAGAGCAACACTCCGGTAATAAAATAAAAGTTAATATGTATCAAAAAAATGCAAAGTTATAATCCTCAAGTCTGAGAATACAACATTAATTAAACCTTGGCTCAAGAGGCATCATCCCCATATTGCCTTCTAAAATCCAACTTATAACAAAGAACAGATGTAAGCAAATATTCACCTGGAGAAGATATGTAAGCTTTGAATTCCTGAATGGAACATGGTCCTCTTTCTTTGCCAATGCAAAAATGACATCACTCAAGCAAGATAAACTCTTGTTGATGGCCTAATTATTAAGCAAATAAATTAGCATTTTATTTTTAATAAGATGCATATTGAAACACATCTAACCAAATCAAAAGAATAAAAATAATTTGAAAAGAAACACTTTTTTTTTAGTTATTATAGAGAGCGAGAGCGAGACAGAGACAGAGACCTGAGTCTCTTTCAGTCGGTCCCCAGTTGCACCACTCCTTGAGAGTCTTTCACTGCCAGCCAGATCAATGAGGTTCAACACACCCTGTACTTGTTGCTCGGTGTTCTAACAAGTGAAGTAAATCAGCATATGGAATGTGCATATTAGAGGGAGATGAGATTTTCTATGGAAACAAACAAAATTCAGAAGTGTACCTCATTTACTCCAGATATTCGCAAGGTAAAAACAAAGTGACTTCTGGATGAGTGCTCATTCATTTGTGTCTTGCCAACAGACCTGGAAAAAAAACAAAAACCACCCCAATTTCTTATTTGCTGGTCAAAAAACCCCATTTCACAAAATCTGATTCCTGTAAGTGGGCCTTAAAAAACAAAAATACGGAAAAAGATGGAAGCTAAATTGAAGCCATATATTGGACAGAGTAAGGAAAATATTCAAATGTATAGTTGCATTAGTAATCAGTCAAAATATCCAAAACAGCTTTATGTTAAACTTCATAGAAAATTTTGCATCCTTTTTTTTCCTAAATTTCATTGCATCTAACACTTCACCTTCATCAACAACTTTACCCTTACAATTCGTTGGTACGCAAAGAAAGGTTGTTAAATTAATATCTAACATGCATGCAAACAGGAAACGAGAACACTTGCACGCACAACTGTCAAAAACAGTAAGAGCTCTCAAATTCAAGGTGCTAACAACACAAGCAGGGTTTTTTATAAACCAAAGAGGACAAGGAAAAGAAAAGAAATTGACAACTTGAAATATTTATCACCTGCTTTCTGCAGCCTGCTGTAGAAGAGAAGAAACCTCTTTTATACTACAGACATCAACAATGGTAAGATCAGATACATGTGTGTTCCCATTTGCATCATGCTTAATGGCATACTGCTTTCCCATGCCACAATTTTCAGAGCGCACCAGATCTAAGCCACTTGACCGATTTACTGATAGCAAATCACGAATAGTTTCATTGTAAATTTCCAGCATTGATGCCTGTATATTTTTTAGACATATTAGAGTGCAACACAAGTTCCATCACAAACAAATTAAAGCATCAAATGGTTATACCAAAATTCAAAAATATATCAAAATTAAGCAACACTACCTGCATTTTGTATTTCCAACCCTGTGCTTGAAGCAATTGACTAGTTTGGAAAATTTGTTCTAATGAACGAGGTATAAGTCCTTTTTTCTCAGGAGCTTCTGGCATACCCATCATCGTGTAAGTTTTCCCTGAACCTGTCTGGCCATAAGCAAATATACAGACCTACCAACAACAAAGGAACAACATTATGTTCGTAAGATTACAAAAAAGTATATTTGTTTGATGGTGTAAAATTTGATGAAGAACAAGAGGGCAGCAAGATGTAATCACCTTATATCCATCAAGAGCACTTTGTACTAGTTGTGATATTTCTACAAAAACGTCCTGCTGAGAAGTCTCATGAGTGAACACTTTATCAAATGTGAAAGGATATTTTTGTCCTGCCAACAGTTGGAAAACGGTATGAGATTTTGTCCTCTTAAAAAATGCTAATATTAAGCACAACCTATGAAATTCCCTAGTCTCAATTTTAAAGCAATGCACAACATAGAGTGACAAGATACTCTTATTCAATTTCAAAAGGTTAGGCAAGTTTGCAAGGTGAATAACAAACATATTCATACCACTTTGTATCAATTCAATCCCTCGGTCTTGAGATTCCATAGACGCAGGATAAGAAACAACTGGCGTCTCTGTTCCAGCGCCATCATCAGGTAACAAGGGACGCACTCTGCAAAACACACGAATGTTCCCTTTCAATTCCTGCAACAAAAGACAATTTAATATCATTAAAATTCAAAACCTAACTAACAGAAATTGAGCAAAAGAGTATTACCAAAATAGTGTTGTGAAGCTTTTTCCGCAACTTCTCTCCTTCAATTAATTGAAGCTCTGCATCTGCAAGGCGATCTTGTAATTCGCTCATAACTCTCTTTTTCTCTTCAAATTCTGCCCTTGTTTCCAAAGCAGATAAATCAGACATCTGGAGAAAAAAAATCGACATCACTTAGGGTGGGAAATAAATAAGAAATACATATGCAAAGCACAATATAGCATCAACTCCATCAAATGACGTCATAGCTTAACAAAATTATAGATTAGCAACTAGCCAACCTTGATATTCATAATATATATATATATATATACACACACATATATAATAAATAAAAAAAACTAGCCAACCTTAAGCTTCTCAGTTGCAGCAGCTAACTGATGCTGCAATATGCGTATCTGTTCTCTTTGAGAAGAGCATGTCTCCTGCAAAAAATATCCAAAATATTAGAAAATATGTACGTATTTTGGTATATAATAAGCATGAAAAAAAGAAAACAAAAAAAATAGTCGACGACAACCAACCTCCAGGGCATTTGATTTAAGGGTCAAGTTATCCAACTCTGCGACTGATTTCCCCGTACTTTCTCTGTATCTTGCAATTTCAGCAGTTAAGGACTGCACCTGAATCAATTGTCGATCACGATCTTCCCTTACTTGTTGCAATTCTCCTCTGAGGCAACCAACTTCTTTCACGAGTGTTTCTTTTTGCTTAACAGCCTCATCTTGAGAAGCCTATAAAGTGCCATAACATAAAACCAATTAGAGAGTACCACATATTAACTATAATCTTAAATAAAGAATAAAGATAATTCACAAAATAGGAAGAAAAAATACCGAATGAAAAATAAATAATAAAAAAAACTATAAAAGATCTCAATTCGTCTCTTCCACATCTTTTCTTCTTGACTATACGACTAGAAAAATAAAATGAAAGAAAAACTCTCTGATCTAAAGTACATATATGAACGTATATGTCAAAAAAAAATGTTATCTTCATGAATGAAGATCCAAACACCAGGCCAGGCCGGTCATCAATAAATCAATCTTGAAAAACACCTCAAATATCCACATCTTCGTCCTCAATATTTATCACCATTTACCTTTCTACAGCTCTCTCAATTCTTTCCTCTCACTTCATATTGTTTTAACTATTTAGAAGAGGAAAGTTATAGAATTATGTTCTGCTTTGTTTTACGTTTTGGACAATAGTTGTTTACAGAAAAGGCCAATTCTTGCTGAATTTCATGTAAAAAGACTTAACCTGATGTACAATTCAACCAAAGTTGATGCAAGTGTTTGGGGTCAGCTAGGCACAACTGTCACATTGAATTTTTTGACATAAAATGAGGTGATAGCAAAAGTGCATTCATGAATATAGAAATTTTCAAATCAAACATATTAGCCAAAATTTTCATTAACTTAAACTAATATTCCAGACTTTAAATCTCATTCGCGTAGAATCAGTCAACTCACTGATACATACTTTTTCTTAGATAAAGAACAAGAAATATATATCATGTAGAAAAACAATCCATAGGACACCGAAAAAAGTACTTACTCTGGAGGCAGTCAATTGGTCCTGCAATGCATTATAATGACTCCGTAAAGTGCTGAGATTCTGAACTATAGTCGCTTTCTCGTTTTCTACTCGTTTGAGGGTCTCATTAGTCGTTGCAAGGTCTGTTTGAAGCTTGCTATTATACTGCTGCAAGCTAGTGTTGTACTCTTGCAATCTCTTGTACATATCATTTAGTGATGTCACCTGCAAATTCCAGAAATGTATACTGATATACATACTTACTAAGCAATAATAGATTGAAATGAATATTCTAAAAAGAAATGTATTCTGATAAACATGATGAGCAATATTATATTGAAATGAATATTCTAAAAAGAACACATGGATCTTTTGTTGATTTACATTACCCTCTGGTTGGCACTGATTTTCTCCTGCTCAGCCTTCTCAAGTTCTTCCTTTAGAGAAGCTTGCAATTTTTCAGCGACAACCTTAGCTTCTTTTTCTCTTCTTTGACACTCAATTGCATCCTAGTTTTAAATCAACCAAATTAAAAATGGGACAAAGGAAAAAAAAGAACAACACATATCGCATAGAGAACTAGGCCATGATTAGCTATCTCACCAACTTCTCTGATTCTTCCTTTGCCAAATTTTCTTGCAACAAAGTAGTTTTCGCGGTCAACTCAGTAATAAGTAAATTTAATTCCACCTCCATTTTTTTCATAGCCACCTCTGAAAGAACATGAAGTACATTAGAAGATTAATTTCTCATTAGAGTTTTGTAAAAACTTCAGGTGCAAAATTTGCCTGTTTCTGTGCATTTCCTCTCGGCAGATTCCAATGTATTACATAGCTTTTCCTTTTCCTTGATATGGCCTTCTTCAACTTCTTGAAACCACTTTAAACAGAGCTTAAGTTTTCTTATGTGGTCATTCATTTGTTCCATTTTGCCCTATCAATTCAGAACACATATAACAATATAACAAAGACAAAAAAAACAAACAAACAGCAAAAATAAAGCACAAAACAAATCAATTTAACACTCTGTTTGGTCAGTGAGAAAGTGTAAAAGCATTTCAGAATAAGCATTAATACCTCTCACATCTGCTATAATCTGTTCTATCTATCTATCTACGCTATTCTATCTATTATGTCATATAAAACACACAACTCACTTTTGGAAGCTTTGTCACACAATTTTGATTTTCCAAAAAATACACATAGAATCGCTAACTGAATGAAGAAACATACCACATTCAGTAAATAACTCCTAATCAATTTTCAAACCAATCCATATTTCTCGCTCAGCCAACCATCCAAGAAACTAGATATAAAGTTGCACATGTGTACCGTGCAGACATAGCATGTGCACCCACCACTAGTCATTCATTATGACCACAACGAAACAAAGCCCCCCAAAATATAGAACAGAAAAATAAATATGGGTCAGTTACACTTTTCACCCTTATAGTTTGACTCAAAATTCACTTTCATCTCTATAGTTTTAATTTGAACAATTCAATCCCTACACTTTAAATCCAATTTCAATTTGATATTTCTATCCAAATTTTTATTAATTTTTCCTATGTATACACCTTAGAAGACTAACAAGTGTACCAAAATCATTAATTGTAACCTCTGACTTGAACAAAATGACCAAATTGAAACTAAATTTAACGTATAGCGACCAAACTGTTTAATTTGAAACAATAGGGCCCCAAGTGAAACTTGGGTACAAGAGTTATAAAGTATAATTAACCCAATAAATAAATAGCAATGCCAAATAAATTTCATAGTCAGTAGACATAAATTTTTTCGTCTTTCCAGATATAAAAAAGCTAGGTTCTTCAGAACATAAATGTTTTACTTCTATTTCTTCAAATTTCTCACCATCCAAACAGAAAGTAACCAAATTTACCAACAAAAAGAGAAGAAACAGACCTTGAGATCGAACTTCTTCCCCTTAAACTTCTCATTCAATAAAGCCTCAACCTCCTCTTTCGTAAACTCCACAGTCCCACACTCCGAACCCTCAGTTCCTGCCAAATCACCAGCATTGGCCGCCGCATCTTGCCGATTGTTCACCGACGAAAACGGCTGCCTCCCTCGCCCCGTATTATTCGCCACTCCAACCATTCTTCCAGTTCCAACCTTCCTTCGCTTTTCCAGATGTAAATCACCAATTCTACTATTTTTCTACACATAGGATTCAAACAAATAAACAAAAAATAATCAATTATACATACACATACACATGTAGATAGATATAAATGCATATGTGTGTACATAACTTACACTGGAGGGACTTCGAGGAGGCTTGTTTTGGCTACGAGTAGACATTTTTGTGCTCAGAGAGTGAGAGATGGGGCTTAATTTATGGTACAAGTTGCTTTGTAGCCCTAAATTACATATCAAGGAGTCGAATTGGAATTGGAAGTGTTGAACTGAAATTGGGTGGAAAAGGGAGTGAACAGTGGGATCTGGTGTTTGTTTCCCGAGAAAATTTTTGGATTGGAACGTTAATAATCTTTGGGTTTGTTCTTTTGGATGTATGATTGAAACGTTGATCGGAGGGTTTGAGCTTGAGACGAAGGGGCACAGAGAGGGGAGTGATTGGGGGCCGGGAAGTGAAAATTTTTGAATTCTTTTGAAATTGAGATCCGGCGCTACTTTGCTGAAATTGACTTTTGATTTCTAATGGGCTGGGCCGGGTTTTATGTGTCTGGACCGGGCTCCAGAGCTGTCTTCTCTCCCTCAGAATGGTTAACTTCAGAATGACATATCCTATACACTTCAAAATGATTTTTTTATTTTTTTATAAGATAAATAAATTAATATATTTAAAAATAATTTTTCATTGTATTTAGGGTTGCAACTCGGGCGGGTTTGGTCGGGTTGGGGGTCTGCCCAAGCCCGACCCGAATTGTATTTGGCAGTGCCAAAGCCCGCCCAAGCCCGACCATGAACCCGAACATTGTTGCCCAAGCCTGGCCCAAGCTTTGTATTTTGAACTCGGGTTGCCCGAATTGCCCGAATTGCCCGAGTTCAGAAACCTGTAGGTAGATCTAAGGGTAGACATAAAAGATGCTAATCTAATGGTAGAAAACTAACCAAAAAAAAAATAAAAAATAAAAATTAAGACTAACTCTTTTACTTAATAGAAGACTAACCAAAAAAAAAATTAAAAATAAAAATAAGCTACTAATTATATATATAATTAATTATTTTTAGAATATATATATATTAATATATTATATATTTATATATATTATATAATACAACTTGAACATTCAATTCGGATTCGGGTTGCTCGGGTTGGCCATTAGTTCGCCCAAGCGGCCTCGGAATGCAATTCGGTGCATAAAAAGATATTGCCCCGAGATCGGGGATGTTATGGGTCCAACGCACGCACATGTGGTAAAGGATATATAGTTCGCCCAGCCTCGAGGCCTAAAAAGAACTCCGGGCTGGCTCGGGTTTGCTCGGTTGATGCCCTGCCCGAGTTTGCACCCCTTAACATTGTATCAAAACACATGAACGAATAGTGTGTATGATTTTTTTTTATAGTGGCTCTATCTGCATCTTGTTTGAACCTTTTGTGTAGGCCACTTCGATAATCTGAACTATTCAATATTATAAAATTCTATTGCGAGTATGATGGTTTTTTGCAAGATTGTTGATTTTGGATTTTTTTATTTTTTCCACTAAAAGACAAAATTTTTGCAAAATCAAAAAAATAAATCAAACAAAATATCACATCCATATCTCATAATCATTCACTTTTTCTCTTCACAAATATCACATCAATCAAAAAAAAATCTAACTATTTTTCCCAAACACCCACTATATCATGTCTTTTAAAAAATCACGTTAATCAGATATCAATAGCTACTAGATCATAACAATTTGTGTTAAACAATTTATTTTTTTAATCATATATCGTCAACGCAAATTTGATTTGATCAAGTAATCTATTGAATATCCAACAACTTAAATTTCACAGGAATGAAGTACCAATCATACCTATATATTGAAACGATTCAAGATTGTCAATTGGCATACCGTGGTGGACCCACGACAGCCATTAAACACGTCGTCTGATTCGAAACCATGAAAATAGTCTGGGCCTCTTGCGCGGTAACTTTTTTACTGGTTAAATCCTAAAGGGCTAGTTCTGGCATGTAGCTAAATAAGGTCAAGAAATGTCAAAAAGTCACTATCCTATTTAAGTCACATCATCTTATTTAAGTCACATCACCTCTCTAGCACATCACATCAAACTCAACCCAAACCCAACCCAAACCCACCAATAAGTCAAAAAGTGCACTTTTTTAGGACATTCCAAACCAACCCTAATTAACATGTACCCTTAAGATAAATATTAAAAAAAGTAATAAATGATTATTAATTTGTTCCACTTGTACGGAAAATGTAGAATAAAAGGGAAATTAATTATGGTATTTTTGAGAAGTTAATTTTTTTTCTATGTGGGATGTACGTACCCCTATTTTTCTAAAAAAATCAAAAAATATTTCAAATATATTAGTTTTTAGGGGTATTTACACATAAATTTTAATTTATGAACTTATATTCCATTAAGTCTTAATTAAGATTTTTTGAAATTTCAAGTCCTATTAAATTTTTAATAGTCGAAATTACCCTTCAAATAATGATTGTTTATTATTTATGATTATCTATTAAAAAATTGATGATTTGACATTTATTTTGATTTTTAAAACTTTAAAATATCAACTTTCAAAATGAAAAAACTAAAAAAAAAAATTATGTGTAAAAAAAAAAACTAATTTTTTTGGAAAAAATTAGGAAAACAATTTTTTTGTGCAAAACTGGAAATTTTGTGTCTATAAAGGATAATGATAATGGAACATTGATATGCAAAACTAGAAGGAAAAAAAAAAACAAACTAAGGCCTCGTTTGGCAAGTGGCTTTTTTAGCCAAAAAGCTAAAAAGTCACTAAAAAAATCAAAAAGCCAACAACTCATACTAAGAATGTCACGACCCGAACCCGCCCCTATGGGTTAAGGCCATAACCAGCCAGTAATCACGAGATTACCTACGGCCTCAAACCAAATAAAACAAACTCATCAGAGTAAAGGGGTCAAACGGAAATAAATTTAAAACTTTGTTCATAGAGCTGTGCTTATATGCACATCATAACATTCCATACATATATATGTTAATAACTCACAACAGAAAATATAGTAACATAAAGTTCTATGCAGACAGGATCATTCAAATCTAAGTCAGCCAAAACAAAGCTATATACAGACGTACACCAAAGTCCTCGCCAACATGACAAAATAACATAGAATGGCAGAAGGGCGAAGACGTGTCTCGTGCGTGAGACGCAAGGGCTGACTCTTCAAAACCTTAGTTGTTCCATATAGACTTCACTGAGGCTGGGTCTAGACCTCTCTTGGCTCACCTACAAACACATGAATGAGCATGAGCGAAAGCCCCGTGAATAATATCAAATAAAGAAAATACATTGGAACAATATACATCAGACGCCCTTAGGCCCAATTCATATTTCTATCTAGCATATAAATAGATATAGATCATACTGGCCTCTGGTCCATTCATTCTATCATGTCAGACTGGTCTTTGGCCCATTCACACTTTCATGTCAAACTGGCATTCGGCCCATTCAAACTTTCATGTCAAACTGGCCTTCGGCCCATTCAAACTTTCAATCATATCAAACTGGCCTTCGGCCTATTCATTCATTCGTATCAAGCTGGCCTTTGGCCCATTTATACTTTCGTATCAAAACGGCCTCTGGCCCATTTATTCATGTCAAAACGGCCTCTGTCCCATCTATTCATTTATTCATGTCGAAACGACTTTTGGCCCATTCATTCATGTCAAAACGGCATCTGGCCCATCCATTCATTTATTCATGTCGAAACGGCCTCTGGCCCATTCGTTCATTTGTGTCAAAACAGCCTTTGGCCCATTCATTCATGTCAAAACGGCCTCTAGCCCATTCATTCATTCTTGTCAAAACGGCTTCTGGCCCATTCACTCATTCTTGTCAAAACGGCCTCTGGCCCATTCACTCATTCTTGTCAAAACAGCCTTTGGCTCATTCATTCTATCATTCAGATTGAACTTATAAAACTTACATAGGAGTAAGTAATTTGGACAACAACATATTTCAAATATCTTTGTTAAGATATTACTTACAGTGATCGGTTGGTTAGTTTGCCCTGGAGCTCGACCCTACACATTCTATGAACACAAAATGGTCACAACAATTCAATCTGTTCCTTAATTCACATATTCCTCTTTAGGCTTCATTCTTATCTCTTTAACTCATTTTCAATGCTCAATGCATGCCTAAGAGTACTTACAAGTGAAAGAGGACGGAAAACGAAACACAGAACGCATAAACAAAATTTCAGAAAACAGGGTCCCCACTCGAGCGTGGACTTTCCCGCTCGAGCGGACCCAAGAGGCCTGCAAAAGTAACTTCCCCGCTCGAGCAGGAGTCATGTCTGCAAAATATGCTGGGAACCCGTATTTCACGCTCGAGCGGCGGTTTTCCCGCTCGAGCGGGCACCAAATTTTCTAGGTTTTCCAACTAAGTTCTTGAGCTTCAACTTGGCATTCCAACCAACATTTCTTGCATATAATAGCTCAAACTTCAAATATACTTGTGCTATCATAGTACCAACATTAAATTACAACACAATGAAGCTCAATTTCTTGTATTACTTACATGCATGTCCCAAATTAACCCAAATTCATCACCAACACATCAAATTCAAACATGCAAAGCTTACACTTTCATGATTTACTCTTGCATGTGGGAGATACATATTATTCTCAACTTAATTGGTGAAGAGATAATCAAACACATGGATTTCAAATAAGATTCAACATGAATTACACATTTTATGCCCAAACATGGGAACTTATAGCAATTTCCTACATGCATGCATCTATTGGCTTCAAATACAACAAAATCAACTCAATTTCCTCATAATCAATTTAATCCATGCTCTTGACCATTATTCAAACTTGAATTCACAAGATTACAAACTAGGATCTATAAATTACTCACCTAGAGGCTTAATTCTTGTAGACACCCCATTTTTGACCGACCTTAAGACTCAGACGTCACCGATTGAGCGCTTGGTGATGTTGCATAATGTGCTCGTTCAGAAGTTTCAGAGTCTCGGTTGCGAGCCTTGCCTCCGGACTTTTGGACCCTTTTATGCTTTGCCTCGGTTTACGAACCAGGCTTGATTTTCTCTGTTTTCTCTTCGCGAAGGGAAGGAGAGGTCTCGTAGATCATCTCTCAGTGGCCGTAGGC